AGCCATGTCTGCTGGCCCCACTCCAAACAGCTCACACCCTTTATCCTGCTCACTTCTTCATGTCGGCTGGAAAGTCAACCTGAGAAGAGGGTTTGTTGTCTACAAAAGTTTGCTTGATGTGATTGAGACTATGGATAAAGCAGAGTACCCTGTGGCTTGGACACAGTGTGGCTTCATTCATAGTAAAGTTAACTTTAAAGATGCCTCCACCACCACCATATGATACAAGGAAGCCAGGCAAGTATAATGTGAGACGGTATGTTAATTCTGTCTCTATTCCTTGTGTTAGCATACCCTGTTCAAAAATAATAATGGATAAGCACATGACTCCTTCTCTTTCTCATAATTCATTCAGGTGCTTCACATGTTTGTGAGAATCAGCCCAAAGAACAGGACACGTGCGTGCAGTTTCCGCTTACCATATCTTGGAATTCAAGTTGAGCCCCAGCTTCTACTAACTTTTCCACAATTGCCAGATGTCCTTGTGAGCATGCCCTGTGCAAGGCCGTACGCTTATACTGTCAATTGGGAGAGAGATGGCACAATAAATCATAAACAACTGCCTTTTTTATTTTTAAAACGCTATCTCTCCCTCTCTCTTTCTCCTGGTGATTTTCTAATCTATAGTCCTCAGATTTCCTGATAGTCTTCCATATAAGTACTAACCAGAGCCAACTTAGTTTAGTTTTCTGGATCAGCCTGATGTTAGCTAAGTATTGCCATCTAGACTGTGTGTGTATATGTGTGTATAGCACCAAAACTGCCATATAGATTTGGGGCACACTGGTCTATAAATCCTATAATAATTATCTGGAATTTCTTCTGGCACACATTCAGCTGTGCTCCAGTCTATCTTTTTTTTTTTTTAATATTATTTATTTCCCTCTGCTGATTTTGGGAGCTCTAATATCAGGGAGGCAAGAGGGAAGTATTAAGTGTTGGATGTAACCCTCAAGGTTAGGCCTTTCTTTGCAGTGTTAGAGGAGGAAAGACTGGAGAGACACCTTGTAGTGTCCCCTTTTGGGGAAAACTGTTCAACTAGGGTCAAACAAATACTACAGAAACCAATCAGAGCCAATATACCTCATCACAAGCATCTGGATCCCCTTTGTCTGCTAAATACTTTTCAATCACTGGCATGTTGTTCTCCAAGGCAGCTTTTAAAAATGTGGGGACATCCACAGGTCCTGTCTGATATAGAGCAGAAAGAGATGATCACCACTGGGGGAAGCCACTAAATGCAGAACAGAAGAAATTAAAATACTTTGTTACTTGAACGCACTATAATTTCTTGCTCAGGCTCCTTGCAAACAGGAACTTTGACCTTCTTGACTTTTTTCCTTTTCTTCAGATTAATGATTTTTTCAAGGTCTTCCAGGTTTTCAAGTTTTGTTCTTGCCTCTAGCTTCTTTTTCTTGAGCTGGACAAAAGGAATGAACAATACAGTAAGGTAGTTTGTATATGACTGTCCCGAAAGAAGCACAATACAGTATTATTAACATATGAATCTCAAAGCATTTCCAACCATACAGACAATTTTGCTTTAGGCTGTAACTCAGTGTTTTTCAAACTTGGCAACTTTAAGAAGTGTGGACTTCAACTCCCAGAATTCCCCAGCCAACACAGATTGAATCTGTAATCTAAAAGAATCTCTCATCATTTGATGGGGAACAGAATGAATCATTTCAGAAGATGATCTACTAGCTTCTCTTCCTCCTTTCTACTCAAAATGAGGAAAGGGAAATCTTCCATTTTCATGTTAGATTCAACCACAGTTGTACCCTTCATCTGCATTATAAGCTGTAGGTTGAATGCATCAAAATTAAATTAAATCAGGTAGAAGTTCTGGATTCAGATCCTGAAGTGAAATACACTGCTAGCCTCCTGAAATTAGCTGGGATCACCCCTCCCTCAGAATCTCCTCTGGTTTTCATCTGAATTGGACTACACAGGGCTGTCTAGAGCAGTGTTTCTCAACCTTGGGGACTTTAAGGTGTGTGGACTTCAACTCCCAGAATTCCCCAGACAGCTATGCTGGCTGGGGAATTCTGGGAGTTGATGTCCACACACTTAAAGTTCCCAAGGTTGAGAAACACTGCTCTAGAGTGAGCTATACCTGTAAAAAATTGATACAATGGTACAACCCTACATTGAAGCCATTTTGTTTCTGAGTCACTGCTGTGTCAATATTCTAAATACAATTATAGTGGGGAAGGCATATTAAAGAAAGAAACCACCTGGGCTTATCATACAGTGC